TCCTTGGTAAGAGGGTGTCCAGATCTGTCCTTCAAGACTCTGAGACTGCCCGTTTTTTCACCTCGGAGCCAGCGGATGGTCTGCCAGAATACTTTGTTTGCCGTGTGGAAATGCCGCTTCAGCACCTCTCCGAACTTCTCCCAAGAATTAGCTTTGGCATTCGCCACATCTTTCGCTGCCGCCTTGCGTTCTTCGACATACCGCACGCGACTAGAAGCTCTTTGTTTCAAAGTCATTTCTTGCACGCTGTTTTCTCTATAACTGCCAGTTGTACCTCTCGTGTCCACCAGGAAGATCTTTAATGATTTCGAGGCGGTAGGCAAACTCTTTTAAATCCGCAGCATTTGGCGGCAGCCTGGAGTATGCCACTCTTAAAGAGCTGTCATTCTGTTTCCTCATCGGTGGTTATCATCAGAATTTGTTCAAACCAATGTGTGATGTTATTTGCAAATTTTGTTCTTGTGTCCGCCGAAGTTAATCTTTCCCATTTGTTTCTCTGGTTTCTTCTGCCACCAGATCTTCGTATGGTGATCCATTTCTTACAGTGTAGCTTTCAAACAACAAGGTGGTGATCAATTGATTGCTCCGCGCCTCTGTTAAGGCGAACAGCCATTATTGAGCTTCTTAAGTCAGATGATACGATTATCTAATCGATTATCGACTTCTTTGCAGAAGGTTCCCTGTACAAGGTATACTGATGCACTCTTTGATGCTCGAGGCATAATGAACAGTCCGTTTTTTGCACAAAACCGGAACAACTTCATGACGTTATTGTTCAGGTCGTTTTTACAATCGTTCCTTTCCATTTTCCAATGTCTACTCCGAAATGAGTATGGTTGCCTGTATATTCGGCACTTCGTACAGAGCACACTGCTGTTGCTGACGGAAGGAATCATATTCTCCCTCTAAATTGGTCGCATACACCTGTACCAATTTCAATGCTTTAGCCTATTGTAGCTTCAGTCAGAGGATTACCACCCTTCCGCTGACAGGCTTTCGGTCAATAATGCTATCGGCAAGGTTGGGTTCTACCAGAACGCCAACACCGGCTTGAGCGCGAGTCGTGATATCGACGCTTGAGTAGAACAGTTTCCATCCATTGAGGTTCAGGAGTCCAGAGCCTGGGCGTTTTGTTGACGAGAATCCAACAATGTCGAGTTGGTGCTTTGTGTCCTCATCAACTAATTCATGTTGTTTTCCTCTGAGTGAGGATATGTTCCAATTTCCGACTTTAAGCTCCCACTGGTGGTGTCGTTCTCGTGGACCCTTTTCTGACGTGCTGCAATGACGTCGCGCTGTCTGCCTCCTCCGTTCAGAACGAATAGCAACTGCGTGGCTGATTGGTATCTTCGTCAGCCGCTGTTGTGCTGTTACGTCGACGATTGGCATAGGGCGACGAGCAGGTTCTGATCGCGGACTGTGCAGTCTGTCTCAGTCCCCCAACAGGCTGCGCGGCCATTGGTAAGCCAGGCGACGACCTAGCCGGTAGAATTTTTGATGGCGTCAATGCCATGAGTATCAGGTGGCTAAATTTGACGGAGACTTCGCCTCGGTCTGCAACCATCCTCCTCAACCGGGCTTGGGACGGGCAATGGCAGAGGGACACATTAGACAAAATGTTTCTCTCCTGGAAACTGCTCTCGTTGTTGAAACGGAAATTTATCAATCAGTGTGCTCCCGGTGTGAATCTATGTGAGAAGGTATCGATCCTAAGCCTGAAAGCTATTTATAAACTGGTGACTATGGAATGCAGCATTGAAAAGTTTGAGAATAACGAGAACGGATATAAAGTCGAATGAATGGTTAGAGGCACGAGGAAGAGCCTGCGATGTTGTTGCCTAAGTGAACAAGTTAAGATGACAATTGTTAGGGCATTTTGCAGAAAACGACCATGGTTGAATCAGTGAAATTAGACTGAGTTCCAAGAAAAAGTGAACGATGCGCAGGAAGCCCTCCAGATCGACAACAAGATGAGTTGAAGAAGTTCGCTGAATCAAGAAGAATGAAATCGACAGATAACAGATCTATGGCGAAGTTTCTGAGAGGCCCTCATCCAACGTTGGATTAACAAAAGCTGCTGATTTATTGTTGCTCGGAAGCGCCGCGGGTTTACGCTTTAAAGTTGTCAATTAAGTGTTCTGTCTGTTCATTCAGCGATTTTAATTATACTGTTTTTTGTAGATGATCAGGCGAAAGCATTTTGACAAATTGCAAATGCAGGCGAACGTTTACCCTATGGTTACCGCTGCTTTTCTGCAAAGTGACCGTTTTAGATTTACGGTGCTTAGTGCGCAATCTTCGGCGGTCGCCAGTCCGGCATCAGGTATGAATGAAGTCTTAACTGATATCGGGAGTTTGCGGATTTTATGCTTCATTGGAATAGTTTTTTGAACCATCTAAGCTGCAAATTAAATACTTTTCAGTGTAATGCAAGCAGCGTCGAAATAGTAGCGTAGGAATGAAATTTTATTCCAATGGAAGAGTAGGTTGCAGTTATGTGCTGAATGATTACAAAGTCATACTTCCTTCTAGTCATTGAAGGAAACAGTTCAACGCCTGCTCCTCGCAAGGAAACATACTTTTGACGCTGTTTTGAGTACATAGTTCGTTATAGTTAAAAAACAGTCCTATTTACAAGGCGATGTTGGTTTACTAACGATATTTTTTCCCAAGTTCCGAAGCGCTTTACTTGTGAAATAAGCCAGGTTAGATGGGTCTAACGAATAACTGGTACGGTTACAGATTACGTAATTTTCAGGTATGCTGGACGTGTTTTTGGATCGTCGATCGATGAACGACGACAGTCGAGGACTCGCGCAGTCCCTGCAAGACAATGTTCCGTTCAGCAGCAGTTTTCGACTCTTGCTCGAAGACATGCAACCGTCCGGCATCCCAACGGTGAGCAGCGGTTCGACTATCAGCGGCGCCTGACATTTGTTTTCAGACCAGAAGAAAGTCGGCTGCATTAACTATGTCTTCGCACCATCACTCGTTGTTCCTCACGCATTCACCATTTATTCTGTTCGTACGGGAAAGCAAACGATTTAGTAAGTACCTCCTCCGTGTAAATACCTTCTCAGATAATGAAGTGAGGCGACTTTTGATTCAGTGGATAGCGGGATAAGGTAGAGAAGAAATATAGTATAGAGAAGGTAAAGAGAAGAAATAAATTTGTTTAACAGATCTGACACCAACTGAACATCAACCATCATCATCGCCATCGAGGGAATCTTGATTTTTTTCGTGTTTCTTGTGAAACTGTTGCTTTTAAGAGTTTTCCTTTCAGCACTCAATATTCCTCGGTCGTCGCTGCTTTCCAGGCCTTTTCCATGTGATTATCACCTGGTTAACTTGCGAAGTTTGGAGGAATCACAAACCCAGCTGCCTTCTAAGCGTTCGGCTCTGATCCTTCACCGGCTGCCAGTGGACTGCGACAGTGTTGTGCGCTCGCCGGTCGGCTGCTCAGCCGCCCCCGAATTGGTAGCGGCCTGATTTTTTCCGGACATTTACCTATGATCGCCTTTCTAACATATGCCATCTTTTAGAGTTTGAAAACCGACCTCAGCTTTGGGCAGATAGTTGGTGTTGAGGAAACAACGCTGACGCTAATGCATTCCAAGAAAAACTGTTCGTCTGATCTGCGGCTGAAACCGATGGAACTGAGGACCTTCAAAGTGACCTGGAATTGAAACAACTATATAATTACAGCGGCGTCATTAAAACAGTTTTGTCCGCATTTGGTGCCATCATTGAATTAAAGCAGCAATTGTTTCATTACTTGTAAGTGCTGTTTTTCAATTTACAGATTTGTTAAATTCCAACATTGTGATTCTATTGACGAAAATAGTAACTTTGATTGGAGTTTTAGTTAGCCTCCATCTGCTATGAAAGCTTCGAGTAGGTTTTCCTCATTTTTCTGAACAGTTGTTCTGAGGTATAGCTCCCTTATTCGCCTCTGCTTATGCACGACACTGCTGTGTTTTGTTTTCGAGCTTATAATGAACATCGCAGTTACTTCAGGAAAGCGGAACCTAATCTTGAAACTGAGTGAAATGAAAGAAAGAATTTGCAGATAGTGCATAACTGTACACATTAGTAAATAAGTTTATTTCCATATCAGAGAACAAGATTAAAACAATTACTGATATCTGCAATAAATAAAACAACTGCTAACATATACTGTACAATAACAGATAATTAAAAAAATGAAAAAGAAGTGAACGACCTGATATATTATTGCACGGACTATTACAAGTCAGTGTCATACCAGGCTGGAATGCTGCCACTTTGTGGAGGCATCTGTGAGTGCTGACTACCGCCACTCATACCGCCGCTTAAAGTGTTATAAACTGGCATCGCACCTGAATGAGGGATCGTGTCCATCGCATCCCACTGAGGCATTGCCGCTGAAGGGCTGTTCATATGTCCCTGATCGAAGTCAGTAGCAGGATCGAAAGTACCTGCATCTAAAGTAGGCATTAAGTATGCAGAACCTCCCCTTAAAATTTCAAAATAAGCTTTAATTCGCAAATATGGGATTCTGTTTCGAATCAGAACCAAGAGGCCTTTTCAATTTGCAATTAACAAAATATTATCTTGAATATAAGAGGAATAGCATGATACTGAAATAAATATACAGGCAAAATTTAAACTATTTCATAATCATACACTAAACCTCCAAATCAAAAGAATATCGACTACAAAAACAAATCAGAAGTGCTTAAAAGTCACAGTTCGCATTAATTACAGGAGAAAGCACTGGATTCTTTGTATGATGTGATTTATCCTTTAAAAAAGAAGACTGTTCGTACTAAAATGAATGGGAAAAATTGGAGAACTATGCAGGAATGGCAATATGAATCAGAAACAGAAACGAACCCCACGCATGTGACTGAGACCGCATAAGAGTGACATGGGCATAAAATTTTAACCATATAGTCAATTCTGTAAACAGAAGTGTCATGCCCTGTACTGCATTATACAGGCAACATGGTTATTTATACAAGTTCAACATTTATATGACAGTTCTGGATGTGGTCATTGTACGAGGCTGGGGGTCATGAAATGATGCAAGCAACGGGGTACGCTGCAGGCCTAGGTTCGCAAAAACGCCTATATATATACATATGTTTTTGTACAGAGCATAGACCTCAATAAAAAGCAAATATGAAAACGTCCTCAAAGGATGACTATACCCGATTTCCTTACAACACTGTCGCTTAACCCTCGTTTGGACAAACAGGCACTGTGCCGTGCTGTTCAACAGTTGTGATCATTGCAATGCACTTTCCGAAGACCAGCCATTAGAATAGTCTAAATATCGTTTTGCAGACTGCTTTTCATAAAATTATGGAAAGAATCGATTTGATGACGTGTTGTTTTGTACAAGAATTACCTCTGTAGCCAATGTCCGGAAACTCGTCCGCCATGTTTTGAACGTCATTCATGTTATCCTGAAAAGAAGTGAGGTAAGTTACCACGTTAAAGCCATTAAAACTAAGAGCCTCTGGTTGCTGATGAGACTTCTTACCTTCGTCCAAGGGCTCGCGTCGTCCCTTAGAAGAGAACTGGTAAGTTCGACGCTGAGGCGCTTGCGGTATTCTGCCGGTTTGTCCCCGCTCATGCGGTACAGTGCCGCTCCGGAATAAGTAGCTGAAAACACCAGTAGTTCAAAACAAACAACGCTGACTGGGTTTCAATAAAACGCGATTACATATGCTCTCGTTTCGAGAATGCAACAGTTCAGTAAGCCGAGGGGTAGCGCCGCACTGCTCGATTACGTGCGCCCCTTCCCGTTCGTTGCTCAACTCTGACAGAGCACCGGCGGCCACCAACTGAATGTGCTCCACCTCAAAGTACAGCAGCTACAAATGAAAAGCTTGTATCAGCAAAAGCAGAAACGCATGTCAATCAGCACAGTAGCAAAGAACTGACCTGAACAAGAATGCCGATGACGTTCATCTGGCGAATGATGCTTCGATTTAACGCGTCTTTAGACAGCATATGTAAAGCGGCAGTACTGCACTCGACTATGTCCAGACTGTTGACGTTGTCGATGGTCGGCGGCTCGGTTTTGGCGCATTGGGCCTGTTGCACTTGCTGGAAAGCGCGCATCAGGTATAAGCAAACGTTATTGACAACACCCTGCTCGCGAAAATCCACGATGTTCGCCGTGTTGGAGCTAAGGTTGCGGATCAGACCAAGCGCAGCTTTGGCCACCGACAGTCGAATCGGCGGATCTGCACGGAACTGCACGAAGCTGCAGATCAGCGGTATGCCGTAATTCAGTCGAACCGAATTCTGTGCCATTTCTGCCTCTGGATGGCGGCAGGTCAAATGTCGTAGTGTGCAAAGCGCCGACTCAACGATTTCTACTGAATTTGAGCCTTGTTGTAAGGTTCTCATCAACGCTTCCACTCCCATGCTGTGACAAACGGTTATCTGAAACAAAAACAGAAATCGAATCTTTCGGTTCAAACGTAGCATATAAAAATGTTCGACTGCCTAAGGAGATTTCATATAATTATCGCAATAACGCATGTATTCCTCCACTCGATAATTCATTTGCATAACATGCTGAAGAAAATGCTGAGAACAATACTAATACAGTTTCATCTAAAGGCTCATTTTTTAAAGGTGAGGAAAAACAAAAATGCTTAAAATATGCAAATTTTTTCTTTCAAAGTACCAATTTACACCAGAACCGCACATACATTACAGTTTAGAAAGAAATGTGCTTTACTGAGAACTGTTTCCACTAAATTATGTTGAGACCGACCGAAAAAGTTCTATATTTACTCAGGGACAACTTCAATGGCCCGTTTTCGAATTTAACAGTGTCACTCGAACTTTATTACGTCATTATCGATAGGACAAGATTACCTGGCAGTTGAGGCAACAGTGGTTATCTGTAAGAGTCAATATCTTTACCTTTCTTTCATCCACGATCATGTATTTATTCACTCTGCATAGCTTCGTATCGTTCCTTATAATATCGTGTTATGTCTGTTTCCGTCTTCCTCTTCTTCCCTTGTATCGGATAGTGAGAAACTACCAGCCATTCAGTCAGTATATATTGACAGCAGGTGACCGGTCATAGTAAACGACGTTTAGTCGAGACCTTTCAGCGCTGGTACTTATATCCGAAAATGCTGCATTCTGTCTCCTTTCCTGTGTTGTACACGGAGAAAATGGTCTGGCGATGAGTGTATCGTAGTACATGTAGAGACTACAAGACTGCTGTTTGTAGATGACCAAATTTTGCCAGCATCTTCTGAAACTAATCTACAGGCTCTCCGGAAAGGTTCGCGCCAGATGTGAGGCGTCCAGCAAGAGTGTGAACGGAACTAAAAGGAAAAGCCTACTGCTTTCCCCTTCTTCTCTCCATTGCTCTCTTAAGATAAACAATGGAGCAGGCAGAGAAGCTGAAGTACCTCGGCGTCGTGCTCACTGATGAGAGAAAATGGGAAGAAGAGATGGATCGGACTGGAATTGCCGATGGCTTACTGAGTGAACTTGCCGAACCAATACGACTAATGCAAAGAGGAGTCTGAATATTAAGCTTTCTGTTTTTAAGTTGATCTCGATCTCCATGCTCACCCTACGGTCATGAGTCATGGACTGATAAACATCGATCCGGGGTAGAAGCGACTGAAATGGGCGTTCTGAGACGAATCGCTGGGGTCACGCGTCTCCACATTGTCCAGAGTGCAGATATCCGAGAGAGCCTTGCTGTATAGCTGCTGTTTCTTGAGATAGAATTCACAGTCGCGATGGTTCTACATGTTCCAAAAGGGAAGGAGAAACAATTATTACTTGCTCTATCCACTGGCATAAAATCTTGGGGACGGCGAAGATTAAATTGGTGTTAAGTGTACTGAAGGAGCCTTCTCTACTCCATTAGCTTTCTACCGAATCTCAAACACTGGCACAGGACCAGTAACTTTGGAAGCACTATCTGACGTGTGTGCCTCGGCGACCCGAAAGGAAAGGCGGTCATGGCAACTGAATTGAATTACAGTGATAATCACATCACATTATAGTAACTCTAGGAACTGCATACTTTATTTCGTAGGTTATTGCATGTCATGTTCGACAAGACATCGACACAACAAGCAACAACCTCCTGATCACTAGATCCGAGTAGCTGAATGAGATGTCGCAACAGGTCCTCTACATTTTCCTCGTTTGTCGCTTCGTCTGACAGGTTCCGCAAACAATCGAGACAACTTCTGATCAGTCTCTGTGACGGATGCGACAGACGCTGGCCAAGGACTTGCATTCCTCCTGAAATCAAGCAACTTCGCATGTGACAAAGCAGAATTTCATCATGTTTCTACCAGCTGTGATTATCGCTGGTTTGTTCTGCGAACATACGCTGAGGACCTTCAGCAGTCGCGAAGAGGTCCAGAGCAGCTTTTCGTAGTCGTATGTCTGCATGATTCGTACCAACTCCGCCGGACCATTGCATGATAAGATCGCCAGCTGAAAAATAATTACAGCAATAAAAAACTACGTTTATACCTGCTAAGATTTTAAATGTTCACAAAAATCCTTAAACCAAATATATTATGTGAACTGCTATTGTGTTCGCAATGTTAACAATATACGTTACACAAACAAGTTTCTATCAATATTCAAAATCCTGTCATATGACTGTGACTTCACCAACTTGGAAGATTTTGATTCATTCACCTGTACAGTAAACTATTCTTGCCGAATCTCTAAAACAGCAGCTTAAGGCCAAATTTTTACCAATGGCCGTGGTTCTCCATCAGTCAAGCAGGTTTAGCTATAACGGCTTGATTCAAAGAAATGACATAAACAAGTGTCCTGTATACCTAAACAGCTGGTCCTGGGTACCGATTTTGTATAGCTTTGTGAAAAGAATCAGCCTTGATTTTCTCCTCACAAATCATAATCCGTGTCATATAATCGTAAATACTATCTCTTGATTTGTAGAAGCACTGAGTTACATGCAAGTACAAGCCGCACAGCATGTTCCAAAATTTATCGAGCCTCAACACTAGACTGTTCACTGATCAGGCGCCGCAAACAATTATGACATCCTTCGTTTCATGTCACCATTTGTTATAGTTTCCAGACCTGTACAATGTCTGACAAGATCGCAAACAAGTCCTAATCTCAGGCTTCGCGATTTATAGGTTACGTTCAGGTCACTTCCATCATTCAGCTAGTCCGTCAGTCAAATACTTTCCAACCATCGATTTTCCTGCCTGCCTTTCAATCTTTTTGTTGTGGGTTTGGCGCACTAAGAATCATAATGCTGAGCGGAGGTGCTCTGAACTGAATTTCTCAATCAGTTCAAATATCGACACAGTACATCCATACAGATAGAAAACAGGCCGTCTTTCACTTGACACCAAAGTTGTGGAAAAGCAAAAGAATATCTCTATCTTTAGAGTAATTGAAATGAAGGCGGAAGAATCACAGATGAGGCTAAGAGGCTGGTCGCTGTCACTAGTAACCAGCAACAAATTAAGCAAATTCTAGTAGGACAAAGGCTGCGGCCCTAGAACACGCCTGCATAAAAACGGGCCTGCGTTCTGAATATTTGGCTTTGTAGTCTGACGACGGAAATAATTAACAAAGCTGAAAACAAATAAACTGGAGGCGACGGAAATGAAGATTTTAAGAAGTCACAGTGTCAAATGCTGTTTTAAGACAAAGATTAGAATATCTAACTAAAATGACAGGCTGGCTGCAAAAAATGCGCTTAAAATGGTGGGTCATTGCCAACAAATGAAGGAGAGACGCCCTGTAAAGCGGATACCGAACGCAAAGTCTAAAGGCAAAGGATCGCCAGGAAGACCTACTACAAAATAGAAAGATCTGAATAAAAAATCGACGTAGCATCCACAGGGCTGAAAAGTGCTCATGCACTTATCTGATCCAGTTGTAATGCCTGTGCGGTAACCAGCGTCGTGTTCAATGCAAGTAGACAAAGTGAATTCCTTCAAATGGGAAATCTGTATTGATCCCTGATTGATATATTTATTCTTGCACTTTCTTTCTGGCATTCACCAGTAACTCAGTATGAGTGATCTTATCAATTAGTCGGAATTAAAGGATTATGCGTCAAAAGGAGCGTTCATTCCATCCATTGCGTTACTGTCCTTTCCGGCAAGGATTCACTACGCAATTGCATACATCATTACCGGTTGAAAAACTCAAACATACGCAGTAGTATATATTCAGTGAATTCACTTGAATGTGCTAATAAACACCCCACTGACCGAAAATGTAAACAACACGATATCTGTGCATACGCTTCCAAGGTTTAAAGTTATAATTTCTTCTGTTTCATAAGATCAATTCCGCTCTATGTTGTCTATCTGTACAAATGTGCGTCTAAAAGGCGAACTTATCCATTCTGGTCGAATTTGTAGCGAATGACAAAGGGAACCCATTGAAAGCTTCGTCAAACACCGATGATCGTAAGTTTGCTGTAGGTTTCTTGATGGTTTCATATACACGTCGCTATGTCGTCGTGAAGAAGATGCTCGCCGTCGACGAAAACGTTGTCACCGAGCTTCGCGACACTCGCTACGACTAAACTGCTCAATAAGGGCCAGTACGTCAGGTCCACAAAGGTTGACTAGTAATATTAGGCGTTTGATACAGAAATGGTGGCCGCCTTTCAGGCCATCGTAATAAGTAAACGTTGCGCAGAGAAGCGAAGGCACTGTACAGTCTTGTTCGAAGAACTACAGCATCTCTTGCTTTGCTCCAAGACATTTCATTCGTCTGAAAAACGAAAGAGTTGTAGTGATTGTTGGCAGCCATAGATGAGACTTGCGAAACCCATGAAAAACATCTATTTTTATGCCAAGATAACTCACCTCGCATCTCCCATCGACTGTTCAACAGTTCTTGAGGTGTAGTTCACTTCCTTTCGAATGAAACGTGGTGAGGACTTTTCAGCATTTACAATCAGTCCCACGAAACGACCTCCTGCAATACTGCTAGAAACCTCGACGACAGTGTCATATATGGCAGAAACAGAGACAGCGTATATGATGCACCTAGCCCTGTTCCAATGCGACATTCACTGTTGTTGAGTGCGAATAAAGTTGGCGATGGGACAGAGCACCATGTAACATCTATTTCGCAACGCTTCACCATAGGAATGTGACAACCGATGGTGACATATTGAGGAGACTGTTTAGGTATGTGGCAAGGATTCAAACGATTCGAAGAGGCAAGCCGTTTGATGCGAGGCAATTTAACATCGTCAGAGATCACATTAAAAGCTGAGATGTAGTCGAGGAGCAGGGCATAAATAAACATTTCTTTTACTTGTAACACATGGCAAGCACAACAATACTGTTTTCGCTATAATTAAGGAAACGTTCAAAAGCAATCGATAAAAAAATGTATACATAAACCGCAAAAGAAGAGTTAAAATTACCTTTGTTTCAGCATGTCGATATGCCAGATTTTGAAGACAGTCTGTGACTATCGCCAAAAACTTCGTGATCGGTTTCTTCAACAAAACAACCATCTTTTCGACGCCTCCAGCACGTCTAACTTCGTCTTTTGATCCAGCCTGGTGTAGCAACAAATTGTGCAGTGTCGTTATGGCGTAAAATACCACCGAATCAATCGGAGAACTAAATACTAACAGTGCATTCTAAAGGCAAGGGTGAAAATAGATCTATATTCTAGTTTAAGCGACTTTTCCACAAATACACAGATGACTTCGATTCGGCCTCGACGTCAAAAAAGCCGAGTATGAAAGAGTTATGCTAAATGCGCGTCTGAACAGTAATATACAAAACACGTGACAAAGTATCAAAATGGGCCACTTATTTTTACAATGAATTATAATAAATGATGCGTCTCAAAACAGATCATCTGCCACAAATGCGCTCTCGGTGGCCATACATAAGAAACATGTATATGATATACGATTAATATGAAATATTCATAAACTGGAATTTAATAGTTTCTGTCGCTTCATAACATGACTGACTTTATCACTGTGTGCATAACGGCACTTTACGAGTAGTCAGCATAGATTTCTGTTTCCCTGTGTGGATGCTTGCGAGAAGTATTATTCGTCTTTTCAACGAGAAAGAAAAAATCATGGGGATGTCTGGTCTCCCTTACACTTTCATGACGGGAAACTTACTGTTCGGCGCTAATTTACGCTTCTATGCCATAAGTCAGGAGTGTTTTATTTTTTTTAAAAGAAGAACACAGATATTTATGCAAGCACAGTGTAGTATTTTGTTTCTTTTCAAAAATGGGTACATAATTATCTATTATGTACGGCAAGAAAAAAGGTGGGTGTCTCGATCGGGACTCGAATTCTGGACTCTCGGTTTTGAGTTCGATACTCTACCGATGGACAAACGTCGGTTTTCAACAGATCGCTACATGAAATAATGCATCGACGAACTACGGGTATCACATCACGACTTAAAAGTTTCCAAACAGCTCTTGGCACAATGGAAATTTGCATTTACACTGTGTGTGTTCGAATAAGTAACCCATGCATGTAATGTAAATACTGATCTCAACTTTACTAAATTTCGTGTGCAGCTTTACATAATTTCTCTGAGATAATTACTAAACATTTTAAGACTCAGCTTTTCCGGAATTCAGATTTAACGGAACATTTCTTGGTTAGAAACAAGTAGAACGTTACCTGAGTAATCGGACCAACGCCGGGATTCCACCCGACTGAAAAATTGCCAACAAACCCGGATAATGGCGTGAAATGTTGTACAACGTTCCGGAGGTGTACTTTGTCATTTCTGAGTCGCCGTTCTTATTGATCGCATTGATGACAGCGCTGACCAACTCAGGGCTTTTCGCAAGTGCGATCAGAGCGGCGTCGCGTTTGCTCAAATGGTGAATGACCATCGCTGCTTGTTGCACAACTACCTAAGGCCCCAAATTACCGAATTAAATACTTCAACAGAGGGCAGGCCAGGAACTGCCCGAAGAGCAAGTGGCCAGTCAATCACCTGATCGACGTCGCCCAATAACTTGATGAGTTCTGGAATCGCTTTCGTGGTCAACTCTGCGTCATCATGATAGTTGATGAGGTTGACGACGGCCGTTTTCAACATCTGGCTCGGTTCAGCCAGACGTTGAACGTTCGTCGACTGACCGTAGTCGAACTGAGGTGCCGGTATGTCGTTCGACTCGTCTATCGTCTCCGGAAACATCGCCGCGCGTATCCTCTGCGCTCTTGTCGCCTCATACTCAGCGTTGATATCTAA